CGGGTCTTCGGCGTGACGAGTGAACGCTTTAGCCACTTGGCTACCCCACAGCCCAAATAATGGCTGAACGTTTGTCAAGTTATATTTATCAATAATACCATTTGCAAGGCATTACATGTACTTGACTTCATACTCATAGGCATATATGGAGAGATTATTCATATTGGTCAACCCATTTCGATCGTTATTAAAAAGTCATTACTGCAAAATTTACACTAGTCTTTCACGTTAAATACCTGTCTTTGAAACACAGCTTCTATTCCGAGCTGATTTGCTTTTCAGTCACTTCACGTCCCACGCCCAGAGATGACATTGGCACTATGTGATTTACACCAGCCATTAATGTTAAATAGCTGTCTTTGAAACACAGAAAGTATCCCGAGCTGATTTGCTTTTCAGTCAATCCACGTCCCGCGCCCAGAGATGACATTGGCATTATGTGATCTGACAACGGAAAACAAATGGAAGTTCTTGTGCTTATTTACTCTTTGAAGTGTAGCGTTTCTACAACTTAACACATGCTAAATGATACATAATAGTGGATAAAAAGAAACCTTGCTTTTTTAATTTAGTTTGCAAACTACTGACTGTTTTTTGCTATTGAACATTCACTGAGTACATGTTGTGACAACAACCATCTGTCGTCGTATATCTCATAAAGCGAGAGCGTGCAGTGACCGCCTGTGTTTGTTCGTGCTGGTCTTTCCTTTGGGAACATGAATCTAATCAATGCCCTGCATGGTGTTTGCATAAATCCATGTTGAGTCGCTCACTCAACAACGCTGGGAGTTTTAAAAACTCTTGTTACCTTTGATCGCGCAGTGAATATCGAAGATGTTCAGTCGCAGATGATATTGTGAAGCTAATTCATAACGCCATTCGTGTTGCACATGTAACGGATATTACTTCATACGTTTACACGCGCACCACCTCCTGTACAAACTTGACAGAGAACGGTTCTCTATGAACGGTTCTATGCTCATGATAACTGTCTCTTACAGTAATATGTAGAGTTTCAAGTTAGGGTTTAGTACTACGGAAGCGTAGTAGGGCCACGGTGAAAAAAATGTTTGGTTTCACTATCTATTACGTAGGACTTAATATCTCCTACGTTAGACATATGTTCTCCTACGCAGGACAAATTATCCCCTACGTAGTACTTAATATATCGTATATACGTAGGAGATGAGCGATATATTAATAGACATTAATCTGATATGGTCGACTTAGATCCGCAGACATATATATATATATATATATATCCACGTGAACTCATTATTCTTATCACCAAAAGAGCCTGACAAAGAAAGCAGTATTACGCAAGCTAACACGCCTTATTAAGCTGCACTCGCTTTTGCTACTAGTATCAGTTACGTCTTGTCTGCGGTGTTGGCAGATCTTGTGAGGTGCTTGTTTCGAGGGATTAAAAGGTTCAGTGGTGAACAAAGGGCGATGAGGTGCCTCTTTGTCCTCTCAAGTGTCCCTAGCTGTCCCAATAGAATAGCACTTGATCTCTCTTACATCCTCGATAATCTCCAGCGTATACGTTACGATCACTCTCCGCTATACCCTGGATGCATCCACGGCTTATGGCGATGATTTTATTACCTCAATTGGCTGGCTTTTTATCCAATCAGGTGCCTACGCTGGGAAGTTGAGCATACCAATCACAACTCACTTTCGCTTCTTAAATTATCTAACCGTTACAACTTGTCAGCACAATTGATGCAGAGGCACTCTGAATGAAGTAGAAGGAGTTCTTTCATATATTTTTTAAAGTTTCAGATCTGTCAATTTGTCTTTATTATTTCCCCAAAAATCTGAGTGGCACTGCTAAACAAAACTTCGCGACTGCGACCGCTATCCTTGTTGACACTGGCAAGCTCCGTTGTAACGGCGGCTTAGCTGATTGGCTACTGTGAGAATGCGGAGCCAGCCAAATGAGGTAATAAAATCATCGCCCTAAGCCGTGGATGCATCCAGGGTATAGTGGAGAGTTATCGTAACGTATACCCTGGAGATTATCGAGGATGTCTCTCTTAGAGCACAGCCAAATATGCCACACGTACCAACTCGTAATTCTTAAGACTATTCAGCTCACTACTGTAAAATATTTTTTGGCAGTACATAATTGGAATATTATTGAGCTTTAAGTTGTCCACATTTGTTTCACTAACGCAAAAGTATGCGACAACAAACACTGCCATGTCTCTCTTAGAGCACAGCCAAATATGCCACACGTACCAACTCGTAATTCTTAAGACTATTCAGCTCACTACTGTAAAATATTTTTTGGCAGTACATAATTGGAATATTATTGCGCTTTAAGTTGTCCACATTTGTTTCACTAACGCAAAAGTATGCGACAACAAACAATGCCATATCAAATTAATGGTAGAACAATTATAATGCATCATGCCAAATTAGAAAACGATTGTACATGTAGTTGTTGAGTAGAGTGACTAAACACCGTCACGAAAAGTTTTCTGCCAGACTATAGTATGGAATGAATGAATGTTGTATAACGCAGTGGGAAATTAGACATTTATTAACAGGAATGATAATTATCAGTATGTTTATGCTCGTTTGCTTGTTCTATATTTGCACCAACCAGTTTCATTTCTAAAACATATTGTTCACAGGACAAGACTTGGTGCAAAACGATTCGTTCCAACTCAGTGATTACAAATTTAACTGTTGTGGCATATTGACAGTTTACATAACTTTCATAAAGCCTCCGCGTCTTATTATATCTATCCTTGCAACAAATCGGCATAAAGTTTAAAACAGAATTCGTACGTGTGTGTCCTGTTATGATCCTGTTTGTTAGCGGGAGTTACTTCCCTTAGAACATTACTCCTTGTCACATTGTCACGGACCTGAGTTGGTGAATAAGCTTTGGATCGGCTTTGGCAAAATTTCAACAAGACCACGACGGGGGACACAAGAAATACACATTGTATCCATTGTTGGAAATGCTTTGGAACGCCATTACGAATTGCTATCGTCTTAATTTTTATTGATAATATTCAATGGTCTTCCCCAGACAGGGAGGCCGACTTGCAGCCTAATTCATGAAGTTGAAAGAGTGATCTGACAGCTCTATTGATCATACTTTCCATGGAAAGTAACGGTTTTGTTTGTTTGTTATTTTACGCTGGAGTGAGCAGTATTCCGGTTACATGTGGCAGTCAGTGAATAATCCAGTCTGGACAAGAAAATCCATTGACTGACATCATGAGCATCTATCTACGCTATTGGGATACGATGACACGTGTCAACCAAGTCGGCAAGCCTGTTGTTTCACATCAATAAATACTTGGAGTATGGTTTAGTGAAATGCCTTTATCCCTATTTTAGACTAATAATAGTCTATCCATGTAATCAACCCGTGTAGATCCCGGGTAGAATAGGTCTTCAGCAACCCATGTGCTTGCCATAAAAGGCGACGATGCTTGTCGTAAGAGGCGACTAACGGGATCGGGTGGTCAGTTTCGCTGACTTGGTTGAAACATGTCATCGGTTCCCAATTGCGCAGATCGATGCTCATGCTGTTGATCACTGGATTGTCTGGTCCAGACTCGATTATTTACAGACCGCCGCCGTATAGCTGGGGTATTGCTGAGTGCGGCGTAAAACTAAACTCACTCACTCACTATCCATTTAATCCATTTTAATTTTTGTTGAACATGTTTAATTGTCAAACCAATCCCAATGATGCTGAGACAAGGAGACATTCGATCTGTGATAGGTATCATAGTCGATGTAATAGTAACTGATGTTGACTTTGGGGCATGCGGTCTCATGTTGTGACATGTAAACAGTATGCTAACTGTAACGTAAACTGGGTTTCAGGTGCTACTTGTTGGGTTTTCCTTTGTCTAGATGCCGCAAGATATAGGAGATAAACGTACTGGGTTTGAAAATTAGATGAATGTTAGACCGAATTGATTGTCTCTAAACATCACAGTGAGGTTCCCATATAGATTCGGAAATAAATACAATAAATTGTATTTTTCGAGTTTTATTATTATATTATCAACAATTCCATCACGTCTGTTGCGTTGATATCAGCCATGTTGGTGGTCAAGCGAAAGGAGAGCGGCAGTGCCAATATGAAAGTATGAAAGTATCTCATTTTATTGATTGTCCAATCAAATTCACGTAGTCATGGTAGAATTCGGATTAAAAGTAAACTACGCTTATAACGAAGTCAAGGGACTATGATTTTCAGTTCGAAATATTCGTAGTTCAATATTCGACTAAAATATACAGAAAGTGACCGTGACCAAAACATTTCGTTATATCCGCCTGCTCGTTACAAACGTAGTTGACTGTACTTATACAGCATTTCACTTATCATGGAGTCATTCTCAGATGCTTAGCACATCTATCTTGTGATAGTGGCAGTGTAATTATTCCATTATAATTTCATTGTGTAAGCTTTCTAAGGATAAATACAGGAATTATCCCTTGTGTGATGTAAATAGTATGTGTCATACATTGTGTATATATGTTAGGTTTATGCATGTGTATTTGTGTGTGTGTTTGTGTATGTGTGTGTGTGTGTGTGTGTATGTGTATAGTTATCCTAAATCTGTGATTTATTCCCTATACATGTGTTTTAATGTGTCTGTTTATAGGAGTCCCTAGTATGGTGATCTACTTTCAGATGTTGGCGATCTATCGCCTGTTTTTATATTGTATTGTCCAAATAGTGCTATGAGTTTTCACTTTCCAAGCTAGTTTTAACTCTTATTGTGATATTCTAGTTGTTTTACTGTCCTTTGACGACATGTTTATATAATATACACATGTTTCATTTCAATGTCAAATATGTTTTCGTCACGATATGGCTGAAATATTGCCGATGTGACGTTAAATCTTAACTCACTCACTCTGTTTATAAGACACAAACACATAGAGGCTTACACCGAACCGTCTTGTCTTCGTTAGTACCTACACTGAATCTAGTCACAGATGAACAGAAAACTAGCGAATTCAGCAAGGAACAATTTTAATATAAAAATAGACAACATTACGTTTCAATGTAACCAAAAACGATTGGATTTTAATAAGAGAAAGCGACTGAGCAAAGCAATCGATGTTGGTTGAAGTCATTTTAGCAGTATTTCAGTTAAATCGCAGGATATCGCATGGTCAGGGCAGTGGTCAGGTATTATTGTTAAACCACTTTTGTCAAACGCACGATTAAGCACAAACCTCATAGACTTATCGAATGATACCGTTGATTGTATAGGTGTACTCGTGACTGTTAGAGCATGCAGTTATGGTATTCATAATTCCTGTTCCAGAAATATGTTTTGAAAGAAATGACAGCCTTTACCATGAAACCAAATTGGAAGACATGAAAAAAGTATTTCAGATAGGGATGGCCATTCATGCGATACCTGGATTGTTTCAATGTTACCAAAACAAGAAATATTTGACAATGTGTATTAAACGTTTTTACGGATACGCGTATACACATAAGTGGAATAGTCAAATTCCGTTGTCAGTAAATGGTCGTAATTAAAATTATGTTAGTTTGTTATATCTCTTCCAATTTCTATATGTACACGGTATGGTTGAAATGTCGGGTTTCTCTGGGCTCTTCAAGGCTTGAAAAGTTATTGCAGCCACTAAGCTACCCCTCTCCCATTCATGGTGACAATGCAGACATGCATATTACATCTTGTAAACAAACACACTTTCAACAATACTGATCAAAAGGGGGTTTATCAATTTTGCCTTCGGCTGAGGTTATTGAAACGAACAATTGATATTAGTATGTTCAACATGTGGGGCGGCTGGTGTATTATTAATAATCATACACCATTGGAGGATCGATGGTTGTAGATTGTGGGATTGTAATAAGTTCTGTAGAAGGTGTTTCCGGAGGGTCTACCATGACCCTGATGTTCATCGTCATAATATGGTATACTAGTTGTCTCCTTTACTGTCGTATCAGCTGTGGTTGTGGTCTCCTTAACTGTCGTATCGGCTGTGGTCGTGGTCTCCTTTACTGTCGCGTCAGGACTGGTCGTGGTCTCCTTTACGGCTGTGTCAGCATTTGAGGTCTCCTCAGCTGTTACCTTTGTCTCAACAGTCACATCAGCTGCCGTTGTCTCTTTTATAGTCGTGTCAGATGTGGTCGTTTTCTCATCCACTGTCTTGTCAACAGCAGTTGTATCAGAAAGTGACACTGTACTCCCAGCTGCCGATGTTTGATTGTCAGGACCAGGTGCAGGTGCCGATTCTGGTTGTGTTATTGTGACACTTTTAGTGGTAGATAGTGTTACCATCTCGATCCCTGGTCCGTTAGAGTCAGTATATGGTTGTTGTGGAGCTGCATCTTTACCTGGTGTAGTGCTGGTATCAATCGTGGACGGATCAAATGAATTTTTGAAAGCATCTACTTGCACGTTTGGTATAATTTCAATGCCATCGTTGGTCTTGTTTGTCGACGCTGAAACAGATACAGGCTAAGAATCATTCATTGTGACTGCTGTAGCAATAACAGTTATCTACAAAATCTGAATTCTCGGTATCCGAAACGACATCGATGTGAGGTGTTGTGGTGTGTGGCTGTGTAGTGAAAGTAACTTTAAACGTTTCATTGTGACATCGTGAACCTACACACATCATGAGTGCATCAGGCTGACGAGTGAGTGAGTGAGTGGTTTTACGCCACTTTCAGCAATATTCCAGCAACACCAGAATTGGGCTTCACACGTTGTATTTATGAGGGGAATCGAACCCGTGTTTTCGTGACGACCGAACGTTGTAAACACTAGTCTTTCTCACCACCTTTAAAGACGACGAATATTCCGATGTAATAATTGAACGGTATACATATATGTACGAAGAACATATAATCAAAAGCCATGTTCAATGAATATAGAGTGAGGCGATCATACTCCTGTTTTGTCAGAGTAATCTAAAGGCTAATTCACCGAGCTCAGTGATTAACAAACGTCATCTATATAATTATCATAATATAAGACTTCGCACTCTGATGGCAAACTAAAATGTTTTAATTATATTACACATTGTACAATAACTCATTCTTGTCTTTGTCGAGGAAGGTGTTTACCTGACTTGTTAATGACCACAAGCGTACAGGTGAGTGGGAAGGAAAGGCTTGATTGTACAGACATAATCACAAACACCAGGTGTAGAACAAACATGATTGTACGTCAGCCGGGGATGTCTGGAATAAAACATAGGTTACATCTGACTGGCGCATGCATAAGCATATGCATACTTTAGTACACATTGTCGTTGAGTATCGTTGTATGTATATATCTGTGAATGGGTGAAATGCCTGCTATTTCAGGGCTATATGATTAAGCCAAACAATAAGTAATGCAAATATGAATTTCATAGATGTCACATGATTGTTTAAAAGATTTTTGTTTCAATTTTCGTACCTTTAAACTTTTGATTTAGAAAACACTGATTATGTAGAATGCTTACTGTTATCATGTTTATAGTAAGAACAAGAGCAGTGAGTGAGTTACAATTCTGTCATTTAGTGATGAGAACAATGTGTCAACTATAAAAGCATGACAAGAAAGAAAAGCAAGATGATCGCAAATAATTACAAAATACTAATTCACAAAACTAGGTCTGAAAAATAAAAAAATACGCATCATGTATAAATGCATTATTTCTTCAACAGAACTGTACCATCCAAAAGCTGGTTAAAGACCACCAGCAAACAATGCTAGAAATGTTTTTTCTCGTCATAATATTAAACGCAACAAGGTCTTCTATACATCTCATATTATGGTCTAAACGAAATTTTATGTCATGTCCTGTACGTACGTATTTTAGAATATCAATTCCTCACTGAAACCATATTTATGGTTAAGAGCAAACAATGTAAAACACAAATCAATTGAAGCTGGACAACGTAGACGAGAAATTACAGATAATATACATATGTGTCTGGAGTGAATTCTGAATTTGACGCCTAAGTTGACAATAACGACGTACTTCTAAATCATTCCAGTCATCATGAAACACATTCTCGGGAAATAACCGTGTGGTCATGGGTAATACCCACATAAATCATCCACGATATCATTCTCGAGTAGACTGTATTATCGCGGAAAGTAACAAATGTTTAGACCTGCCACCAAGTTAATTACTAATGAAAAGACAGCGTTCGTAAAATTTATACAGAAATAAAATTCATAGACAAGTCACTGTCAATCACAATTATGACAGTGCAATAGGACACACAATCTCTGAAACTGCTCATATGAAACTACTTACTGTCATCTGTAACCGCCTTGCCTCAACCTGCGTGAAATCGGGTCAGTACACATGGACATTTTCAAACAATAGATATATACGTAGGCAGCAAAGTTAGTGTCGAATTACGCCTTATGTGGATGACATTTATTCCAAGTACTTACACGGACAATAATGTCATCTATTGTCGTCACGATGAAACCGTTGTGTTGACGGAGGTAATATTGATTTCTGTAACACATGTAGAGGGGGAAGAAAATGTATATCAATACGAATAACAGTAACATGTTTGATCAATGTAAATTGGGAACGGTATTCAAAGCTATTGACTTCAGACATTGTTGAAACAATGTTGCTTGCTGTTCAGCCTTAGCTTTAATCATGAACGCTTTGGTCTCATTACTGTTACTTCATGTCATTACACAAACAATTTATCATTTGTATATACGGCGCCAAACATATACTTATATGTTTATATCAAATTATAGTATATGTTCTCTGTGCATCTTCGAATCAGTGAAAGGTATTTGCATGTGTGTACTGTTCTAATTAGAAACAGTCCCAATTCGTTATTCGTTTGATGTGTGGAACTGACGCTATTAGCCATCAAGCAAACGTTAACTGATATTCATGAAAACAAACTCTTCCCTGGTAACATTTGTCTGTTAAATGATCTCTGGTGACCGGTCATAGACTAACAACTAGTCTCTGAAATGAACATATTTTACTGAAAAAGTTCATGGTAAAAAAAATATATATATAATGAAAAGGAGCGCTGAGACTTTCTTCCTGAAGCTGTGGAAATCTAGACTTGCCACATTTTCTAGACTTGTGTGGGCTTTCTTGGATATATTTGCTTCGGGGTCTGTACGACAGACTAGACCGGTCACTGTGTCCAATGATTTAATACGTTTGATATTTGATTAGTGTAGTATTTTCCCGATTCTGTAACCTGTTCAAGTCCTTTTTGACGCAGTGGTCAAACTGACTTCTAATCAAAATTGTGTGGTGGGGGATTGTTGACGACATACAAAACCATGTGGTAGCGTCCTTTCCGGATAAAGTGCGGAGAGGGGATGGTGAAGACAAACGTGCCGTAGCATCCTTCCAGGTCAGCGTGTGTGAGCGTATGAGAGACGACTGTCTGTACATTCAAGCATCAACAATGACAAGATTTTTATAAATGTGTCGCTAACAAACAAGGCTTGTGGTGGATAGAGTAAACTAATGATAAATAAAATGTGAGTTTTTAGTGAGTCAGTGATGTTCGTATCCGGCTTTGCTCATTTGCACATTTTAGGTTTATTTATATTTCCCCGTATATCAAAGACTACATTAAACAGAATTTCCATCGATGCCATGATATATAACTATTACTGCCATTTGAGTCGACACCAATTGAATTATTTTTTTGTCTTTTTTAAAAAAAAATCAAAGTTTATTACTATTTACAACATCTGCTTATTACGACACACAGCGCTATACCTCTTTGTAATCTTGACCAGAAGTCAACAGTATACCTCTTTGTAATCTTGACCAGCAGTCAACAATATGCTTGATTGCAATAATGACGACCAGTCAACAATATACCTCCTTGTAATACTGGCCAGCAGTCAGAAAGCTACGTCTTTGTAATAGTGACCAGCATCAACAATATACGTCTTTGTAATATTGACCAGCAGTCAACAATATACTTCCTTCTAATATTGGCCAGCAGTCAACAATATACATCTATGTAATATTGACAAGCGGTCAACAATATACATATTTGTAATATTGACAAGCAGTCAACGATATATTATACATCTAAGTGATGTTGTTACTTGACGATTTCTAATTTAGATATGACGTTAACCCGGAAATCTGTACACAAACCTATTCAATGTGAAACCGACAAAAACATCAACATGTTGAACATTTCACGATTGTATTATGCATTGACTGGGTTTACAAATGAATACAAATTAGAGCAGGTAGTTGCAATGGGAGTTCACAAAAGGGAGGAAGTAAAAGGAAATAAAGGTAAAACAGTTACAATGGCAGTGTAAATTAAAGTGCAGTGGTGATAGCAATAAAATAAGTGATACTGTTATTTACCCAGCTTCCGCAATAGGTTAGTGAAACCATTGATTACATAGTCTCGTTTCCTGCAGACTGGGTTCCTATTGCGTAACTTAGGACAATAACCAGTCCAGAATTGTTAGACAAACTCATTCAACTGGATATATATAAATATTAATCAGTATTATTTGATACATTTAAGCATTTGTATATTGCAACACTACGCTCCTTCTAATCCTTGCACACGTCGTGTAGCGTGCTCTGTTGTGCAGCGTGCTCTGACAAACGGAAATCTGGAAACCGTGGAAATCTCAAAACGAGCCTCTGCCGCTAGAAACGTTTGGCGGTCTGGTACGGACTTGATATTATATCAAACACATTGTACGTTCACAAAATGCATGTAATAAAGGCAGAGAACACATAACAGGTGTAACCGGTGAGCCGCATGAATTGTGAATCATTTTACATGGGCAGTCTGTGACATCTTAGTTAATGACATGCTGCCTAAACCTCGATATAAAATATATAAATACGAAGTGTTTGAACTTTAAAATTAAAATAAATTGTAAATAACATTTTCTTGTGAAAAAAAGGAATTGGAATTCAGTGTAACCATAGTTGTTTGTAGTGTCTCTTTTCACTTTCACACGAAAAAAAATTCGGATCGGCTGGAAAGTAGGTCATTGTCTGAACTGGTTAGTGAGACTCATGTTTCGGTTTGCTAATCTGGGCACCCGGGATAAATAATTGTTTTTATAACCAACCGTTAGTTGAGAACAACGATAAAGAGAGGAATGCGCTTATTCACTAATATAATCTAAATATCTCACAGAAAGTACTATTCACGGTGGATTAGTCTAAGCTGTTCTATAGGATGCCATATTACTTTTGCCTTCAAAGGATCAGAGTATGATAACGTCCGCACCACTGCTCACATTAGATAGTAATACTGTCCTGACAACTCATCACTGTCAATACAAAATATCGTTAACATCTACTGAATTTGAAACATTGTAATACACTAACAACTAATCACTCTATTGTAAAATATGATTGACTAGCAGTAAAAATATACAGATGTATGTCGCTGACGTTAATCAGCAATATTGATATTTCTCATTGATCTGCAGTCGCTAATATGCTGCTTTGTCACAGTGACCTGTAATTGACAAAATGTACCTTGCACATTGACCTGTGGTCCACATGTCCACAATATACAATAATGTGACACTGACCAGCAGCCAACAATATAAATATCCGTCATACTGGTCTGTACCGAACAATATACATCGGTGTCACTCTTTAACCCAAAATATACAAGCATAACATTATGTCCTGCAATATATACAATGCAGCTATGTCGAATTGACTTGTAGTCCTAATAACATTATACAGAACGATTTATTTCCAGCACAAGATATTTTATCTCTCTCAAGTCATCTCACCCACCTACCTCACTCCTCCTCTACACCTGCCCCCTACCCCTGCAAACACACACGTACATACGTGCGCACGCACGCACACACACTCGCGCGCACACACATACACGTGCAATCATGATGACTTAATGGTGACGTAGCTTGTTACTGACTGACGTAGGTTGTGTGTTTCGGGGGCTGCTTGTTTGTCTGGTGCTACATCACATTGACGACAAGATATTTGGGGAATTAACTTGGCAGAGCTGACTACTCGGCCATCACCTTAAAAACAGAGAGAAGGCTGCTGAGTCCTTGAAGTCTTTATTCGTAGCAGAGTCGGTAATTATATACTTATTGAGAGATTGCACACAATAATAAATATACATGGTAGATACGGTAAATGACTAACAGTTAAATAAACCTTAGCAGCGTAACAGTGGTATTGTTATCCAGGCAAAGTTGGCCGACTTAAATGATTGGTTTGCGAGTCACTGATAATTAGAACCAATACGGTAATACATTTACAAAGTAAGTTGTGTACAATACTAGACAGGGATTTATTATATCTTATTCTAGTTTGCATAGAGGGGCTACAAGAGATACTTCATGTTGACTAGGATTGGATGAGATTGGGGTAGTAGGTTTACTACGATTGAAAGGGGAGTTTGATGGTTTGGGCAGTTTACATGGGTGCCTGATTCTAAGTGGATCCTTGGAATCAGGCACGCGTCCCTATGCGTTATGTACCTTAGACAGAAGAACCTGATAGCAAACAGATGTATGATGACCCTTCTTCCTGCAAAAATTGCAAATTGTATGCCGATGGGGACAATAATTACGCTGAGAACAATACCCACCACATCCTGAGCATCTTTCTCTGCTGTCCCTGCTGGATGGACGGTGGTGCTCTCTTCTGAAGTCACGTGGCCTGTGCTCCGACTGTTGACCAGGATACGATGACTGAAGACGTTCTTGTCTGGAACTGTAGACATCTCGTCGAGGTTGTGACTGGTACCTGACTCCTTGCTGACAGTCATCTTGGAGTGTCTCCTGCTGTGTAGACATTGCAGCTGCCACGGGTCTCGGTTGGTTCTCCATCAGTGACATCACTAGTGCTGACAGTTTAGTGACTTGGTCTGTGAGGCTAGCTTGATCTGGCTGCTGGACACTGAGGTATGACTTGGCTGCAAGTTCACCCTGATGACGCACTTGTTCCAATGTTTTGGGCTCTTTATTGTAGACCCATTGTCTGACGGAAGGGTTCAGTCCATTCACAGCTATAGCAACTAAGATATCTGTTGGTATAGACTTCCTAGAAGTTGCCTGTTCCACTCTACTGATGTAATCAGATACTGACTCAGCAGGTTGCTGATTTATGGCTAGCACGGAGAGATCAAATTGTCCTGATGGTTGAAATCTAGAATAGAAAGCTTGTTTCAAACTATTCCAGTCTGATTTGATATCTTCACTTAAGGATAGATGCCACTGTTTTGCTGGTCCTTCTAAGAGAAAGTTCAAAATAAGCAAGCTCTGTTTTGATCAGTACCTTGGAGTTTCACCCAGGTCTCTAGATCTGACCACCAGTTAATTGCATCCTGCTTACCTGAGTATTTTGGAAGCTGAATATGTGACATGGACATACTTGTAGATGGGGAAGTAAATAAAACACTTGAACTTGTTGTTGTTGATGATGATGTTGTTGTTGTT